AAACTGTTGATAGAAAATGTTACCCATCATCAGTCTAGATAAACTGTTGATAGAAAATGTTACCCATCATCAGTCTAGATAAACTGTTGATAGAAAATGTTACCCATCATCAGTCTAGATAAACTGTTGATAGAAAATGTTACCCATCATCAGTCTAGATAAACTGTTGATAGAAAATGTTACCCCTCATCATCAGTCTAGATAAACTGTTGAAAGAAAATGTTACCCCTATCATCAGTCTAGATAAACTGTTGATAGAAAATGTTACCCATCATCAGTCTAGATAAACTGTTGAGAGAATATGTTACCCACCGCCATTGGCTCAGCGGCAATTCTGAAGCTTTACTACAACGCTAAAATTCGGGTTTCGATACTCGTGATGGGCAGAGCGCAGATAGCACTATGTGTAGCTTTGCGCTTAACTACAACCCAACCGAGCGTTAAGTATCTTTCCGGGCTGGAAGTTCATACTAGTGCTGTAACACACTCGAGGCCGTTGTATAACAGTGTTACTAACTGGGATATTAAAGTTAAGAAGGAAGTGTGGGTTTCACATAATAGTAGTTCTAGCCTCAAACCCAAACTCGTATTCGTGTTCAATACTTATATTAACATAGTAAAACTCCGTAGAAATGATGCAGTATACAACCAATGTAATTATTGTAATGTTTTTCTTTTTTTTTAAATACCAGTTGTGTTAAACAGTGTCCCGAGCTGTAAAAGTTGTTGTATTCTTACGTATATGACTGAGTATACACACATACACATATGAAGCAATAAATGTTTAACCGTCGTTATCATTGTTTATTTTTATCTTTCATTTCCGTGGTTCGTAGAGTCTATTTTTCGTGCGAGAACAAAACAGTTTTGGGTTATTGTAGCTCGTGCAGTCGAATAAATGTTTTGTTTGACATTGCGAAAGAATTAATAACGATGATAAAACATTTATCGAACAGTTCATGATGGAATATTATATGTTTACTATATTAAAAGTAAAAAAAAAAAAAAAGCTGGGAAGTAATTTTATGGCTCGTCTTTATCTTAACCTGATAGTCTAGATAAAGAATATTCGAGAAGTTCTCCTATCACTTACAATTATCTCGAAGGGTTTATAGAACACGTCCGGATGCCTACAAAGAACAAGTGCCAAGTTTTCTTGTTACGCCTCCATTTCTTGATGCAACGTAATCGAGGCCTCGCAGAAACGACCGACAGAAGTGAGCACGTGCAGCGCAAGGTTCGAACCCAGGTGCGTTGCAGACAGACTGGCGACGGCGGCTCATTGATCGCATGCCAACATTCAAGTCTGCAGTGGGCACGGCGAAGCTTCCCAAATCGTTCTGAACAATGCAACAAGTGGCAAGTCTCCGAAACGGTCTTTACCCACTTGTATTTAGAGAGCGTAAAAGTAGAAACATTTTGAGTCGACTAAGTGCCACCTAGGATTTTCTCGATGTGTATTTCAAAAAATTTATTGATAAGCATTACAATCATATTTAACTGGAATATAAGTTTGAGTCGGTATATAAATTTGCGTTATCTAAAAAACTGAGGATGAAACAAATTCAAAGAAAATAAATAAAATTTACGAGATAGTTCTAATTTAGGACATATTCCAACAATAATACCAGACCCTGAATAAAACAATGAGATAGAAATAACAAGGAGAGGTAAAATATATTTCTTTATTGTGTGTGCGTTGACTTACTGATTAATGTAGAATAAATCTGTTTAAGTTAAGCACAAAGCTACGCAATGGGCTATCTGTGCTCTGCCCACCACGGGTATCGAAACCTGGTTTCTAGAGTTGTAAGTCCGCAGACATACCGCTGAGCCACTGGTGGGCCAAGATAATAGTGCCTTATTTTATAACATTTTTTCCTAAATCCCTTCCTTAATGGTAATTCTTTCCTTATTAATAACGTACATTAATTTTGTACATTTATTATTATTAACGAAATTAATTTTTAATAAAACTTCTGAAATTGAGGTAAAGTGAGTTTGATGTAGAATATCAAAGTGAGTCTTCCTAGTGGAGAATCATTGTGTTGTAGAATAAGCAGATAACAGTTAAATAGACACTCAAACATAACTATATAAAACCGGGTGCAGAAAGACAGACAGGCAGATAGATAGATAGTCTAACAATACTGCATCACACAAAACTTTGTAAGCATTAAGTGCCACAGTTACAGACTTACTATCTACTAAGTTGACCTTGCATTCAATATCTTCTGTATTGATAACATGTGACTTGTTACATTAAATCTCGTTGGCACTTTTTCAGTAAATGTGATCATCTACTGTAAACATATATATATATGTATATTAATCTCTTTCTTGCTTTAGAATTTTCGTGCAAAGCAACATTAGGTGGAATCTGCGCTCAGCCGTCACTAAGTTTCAATACATAGAGTAGATGGAAGACAACTAGTCAACGCCACTCACCGCCAAATCTTGGACTAATGTCGTCTTATAGCACTCCCAAGGCCAAAAAGTGCGGATAGTGTTTTAAGGGGCAAAAGGATTCACAGTATGAGCACGGTAACCATCCGACCAAAGTCGACGAATATTAAAGTGAAAAGTTGGAAATAAAAAATTATACACCTTGAAGGCAGTTAATTTTTGGGCTACTCTGTACATATCATGACCATGTGAGAATTACAATGGATTCGTAGAGGTATGATAATGAACAAGATTATTCCAGCCTTACTAAACTAGTGTGAGTGTCAAAAGGTTTAGTTTGAGAATAATTTCAAGGTTGTAAATATCAGTGAAACGATGAAAAGTTAGCCAATCCTACTCCTTAATTCATATATTTCAAGCCCCCAGTGGCACAGCGGTATGTCTGCGGACTTACAATGCTAGAAACCGGGTTTCGATATCCGTGGTGGGCAGAGCGCAGATAGCCCATTGTGTAGCTTTGTGCTTAATTACAAACAAACAAAATAAATTTTATTCTTTTGCTATCAATAATGACCTG